ATTACTTACAATATTTCTGTACGTCTGTAGCAGAAATTTGTAAAATACATTACATAGAATCTCTGTTGTAAAATCCCCTGCAATCAAAGGCAGCCCATTGGATTTAGGAAGAGCGCGACCCATTGTTTAAAGTGCCGATTTGTTTAAAAGTGAAGTTCCGTTGTTCGCGTCTAATTAATCCCCCTCTCCCCAAGTTGTGTTCAGAGTTATAATAGCGACGATCAAATCCCACTATTCTATAAATAGTAGTTGGACATGGTGGATGGTGTTGATTGGCTGCCTTTCTTCTAATTTGTCACTTCCAACTTAGGGACGACTAGCGCAGATAGCTCCTGTGTAGCTTTGTGGTAAGTCCCATAAAACAAACAATCCATTAAACTTTTCTACAATATACTGCCTTGAATAAAAATAATACTATGGCTAAAGCTGTAATCTTAGAGTACTGCAAATATTTTCAAATGTCATATATGTAACAATATATATTACACAAAGTACTTTTCAATGTCAAGACAGTGCAACTCTATTTGTGATAATCACAATAATTATTAAGTTTTAGTCCACCCTACATTCAACCGTTGAAGTTCATGTTCTGTTCTTTCTTTTCATCTTTACAGTTGAATGTGTTGTGGCAGTGTGATGGTTTTCTTATGTTACTGGTAAGAGATTCAAGGAATCTATCTAAGTTGGCATTCTTCCCAGGAACTGAGAAGAGGCGAAAGTAACAGAAGATAGGCACAGCGTCACATTTGTTTAGACAGTGGGTGCTAATACTACTGGTGTTGTAGGTGTAGCGTTACGGTGTTCTTTTATTCAATTACAAAACCTTTTATTCTAGAGGTTGATCCAATATAACCTTGATTGCACCTCGGGAACGTGGACCCGTATACCATTAGCAAGGTATTCAATGGATATTAGTTTATTTAAAGTAACGAGATCTTTTCACCTAGAATGTGTTTTGAAGACACACTTTAACTGAACTTGTGGATATAACTGTTTCATCTTTCTCTTAATTTTCTTCTTAATCACAAATGAAATAGTACCTAAGTAGAGCATGACTAAAATAATAGTTTTCTTCGGAACATATAATATAACAGCAAATGAGGGTATTTAGGTTTCAATTTGTGTTCATTATTATATTTAGATAAAACAATGGAAAATATTTTCTAAGCATTTTTAATATTCTTAACTTCTGCTCCAAAAAAGGTTCTGATTTACCGATTTTTAAACACTGTGTATAGCCGGGTGTTAACCAACTTTTCTTTAAAGATTAAAGTAGTAAAACTTTCAAAATGTGGATCTAGTCCAGTGAAAGTGGGTTTATGATATACTTCTGGGGCAAGTATATTCTGATTATTTAATACATGAACATCTAAAAACGAGAGCTTGTCGTTCTGTTAATTTTCAAAAGTAAACTTTTGTCATCAGCGTATCTCCTATGATACTCAGGCTTAAAACTTTCAGTACAGGACTGTAATCAAACCTTTTCATGGAAGTACCGTAAAACATAAAATAAGGTTATTTCGTCGCAAAACGTAAAAGCTAGTCAACAACGTTCACCGCAAATTCTTGTGCTATTGTTTTACCAATTGAAAGTGGGATAGACCGTGACACTAAACGCCTACATGGCTGAAAGAGAGAGCACGTTTAGTGACGAGTTTTAAGCCCGTGGCCCGCAGCACTCTGACAAGCAGACCATGTCATGCCTTCCCGAAATGCAACTAAATATATATTTAAAAAGCTGCTAAAGGCTCTGTGGTTGAATAAAAACCCTGTAATTAAAACCTACAATGGCAGTTACTCCCCCCCCCCCCCCACCATACACACAACAAATTCTTGGCATATGATTTATAGATCTCCGCCGCCCTGAATCGGCCATTTGTTAGTGGTATATTATACATCATAGTCACTTTAGCTTGTAATTCCACTACCAAGACCATATCATTTCCCAATCCTCGAGTGGGGAGAAGGAAAATTGTTCAATATTTCAGCACCCCCGATGATTATTTTTGTTAATAATTAATTTTAATCGAAATACCTGCCAGTAGTTTAAAGTTTTACAATGCCAGTAGTGTTACCAAACAATTTCCAAACGAATGGCTACCTCCACTTCTTTCCATGTTTTTTTCGATATTTTACTGATAGGCCCGGCATGGCCAGGTGGATAGGGCACTCGACTCACAATCTGAGGGTTGCGGGTACGAATCCCCGTCCCACCAAACATGCTCGCCCTTTCAGCCGTGTGGGCGTTATAATGTGACGGTCAATCCCACTATTCGTTGATAAAATAGTGGCCTAAGAGTTTGCAGTGAGTGGTGATGACTAGCTGCCTTCCCTCTAGCCCTAGTGTAGCTTTGCGCGAAATTCAAAACAAAACAAAATCTTACTAATGCTTCATGCTTGTAAAACAGGTAAGCTAATTGCTGTTTGCTCAGAAACATTATCTCTGTAGTGGATTTCTTCAACATAGTGAAACTGTAATATCAGTAACTCTAATTACTATCCCTGTAACGAAACTGTATGATAAATAACATGGATTACTTAATAAAAAGTGTTGCATTGCTTATCATTACTTTCGTGATGAAAACATAATTACCAACAATGCCAGTTAGTAGCTTTGTGCTCATTATTAATTATTCATTAACGATGAAGTATACAACCAAAACGTAATTTATAAAGTAATGAAACTAATTTCATATAACAAGAAACACTTAGTGTCGCAAAAAACTTAAATCTATACTGAATCATCAGCCAAGTACCCTCGCTATTAACAATATTTTCAGCCGTAATCCCAATAACATATCACGAGGGTCAGCCAGCTGAGGAAGTTTAGGTTAGTCTCAAATCTATATACAAAAGTAACAATATAAAATATTTTTCAGTTTTAAACCTTAATACAAAAAGTATTAGAATTATTATAAATATTACAACAAATAACATATAAACAAATGATTAAGAAAAATGAAAAAAGTGTATTACTTACAAAAGACACAAAAAATTTAAAATATTTGTTATATCTATGTTAATAATTCAACAGAGATAAAAACGATAATCCTTTAGTCTTTAGGCAAACTTTCGTTCTCAGAAACCCTCAGCTTAATTATTGCCCTGCTTAGAAATCTGCTTAATTAATATCCTGCTGTAAATTACGATATGTGTAATAAGAAAGGTCGTAGTCGAGTGCACATAGCCTAGCATAGAGATCGGTTTCAAATGTTAAACTAAATGAGAACGACCAAAAAAGTAATACATTGAAGCTATATACAAGTGTTTACACAAAACTGCGCAGAGCCACGAGACACTCATACAGCGCATTATCTTCCTCTTCATATTTTAGCTGAAATGAATCTGAGCGTGTTATTTATTTTATAAACACCGAAGTGTTATTAGCAGTTTTGTAAGCTGAGTATATAATCGCGCCTCTGTAATTCATAAATAAAACTTAATGTCACTGCATGTGTCAAAATCGTAGGTCATCATACTGTACATAAATGACGGAATTTTATTTTTGTGCACATGACTTGTGAAATTTAAGTGCATCATGTCATAGGCGATGTCTAGAATTACATAATTACATGTAAATAACTGAAATTGGGGAAAAACGTTTATAAAAAAAATTCAAAAGGACCTATCATTTCTTAATTTTTGTTACAATCTCTGTAATAAACTAGAATTCTTACAGAATAATTCGTTTACTCCACGGATTCTAATTTTATTCAGAAATATTTTTACATACCTACAGAAACACTGCATACAAGCCGAAAATAAATCAGATTCATATTTTGAAGTTTATTATGCCAATCATGTTGTTCAGAGGCTGAGCATCATGATTTTGGTATCTAAGATTAACAATATAAAAAAGTTGTCCAGCTTTCTGTGAAGCATCGATGTTACTCAACACTTTGACTTAAGTTCAAATAAATTATGTATAAAAGGAATCCCCCAGTTTATGTATATTAGAAACCGGACAACAATATGTTGAAAAAAAACTTTTGGTTATTTACTGGGATTAACTACTTGACATTCTAGTTCAGCAAGACAAGTAAAAGATGTCTGTCTACTCGGATTGTCTTTTAAAATTTCGGTTTAGCTGAGAAAATGAAAGATATCTAGAATTTCAATGGTTTGATCTGGTTACTCAGTTTAAACTCTGGTTTAGGTGGGAAAATTAGAGACAATAAAAGTTCACAGAAGGCAGTTGGATGGTATGTGCTTAAAATTCCGGTTCAGTTGGGAAATGAAAAATGGTAAAAAGCGGTAGAAAACTGTGTAGAAGTTTTTCCGTAATAGTTATATAAAGTGTATTTCAAATGAGTAAACGTGAAAGAAATCATAACGCTAAAAAAGTTCATCATTAATTATTGGTGAAATTTCTAATATCTTGTTACAACAAATGTGACAGAACAAGTTTCTGGTCGCTGAACTGGAAATTGGAAATCCCTGCATTATTTGTTTTGCTTCAAGATCTTTGGTTTATAGGTGAGCAACGAGAATGACGAAAATGAGAACCATATGATTCTATTTTAAAGTTTTGTCTTAGCGTAAGACCTCTTTTAGACACTTTCACATAATTGGCAACGAACAACAAAATTACAATAAGGACCCAACAGGTCGTGAGTGATTTGGGCGTTTTGTGGAAGTTGTATATAATGTATATAGACAATTGGGTGTGCATATTATAGGTCTTTAGTTAAGTAATGTTACCTACAGCTTTGGCGTGTATCTTGCTCGTTGGACAAGATTCAAATCAACTATTGTAATCGACTATTGTAATCAACTATTGTAATCAACTGTTGTAATCGAGAGAACTTGCAGCAGATTCCTTTGCGAAACTCTAAAGTATGTTATATATTTATGTATTCTTTTAGTGCTATAGATCTACTAAGGTGTCTCTATTAGGACTTCATACGTCAGATTATACTATCTTTATCTTGCTATTTTCATATTATGATATTTACAAAAGTTCTGAATTAAATATTTTTATTTTGAATCAGTTCCCTTACTTGTGCTTTCAGAACAGCTCCCAGGGTGTAGGTTCCCCCTCCTGTATAGTTGATGCTCGGTAATTGGTCCCGTAATAAAGCACACTTATGGTTGTTTTCTGATGGATTACTCAGATGATCCACGTCTTTGACGACTCTTTCTCGTGAGCTGAAGGTGATTACCGCTACACGTGTGGCTTCATAGGAAACAGTGAAGTCTGCCAGCAGCTTCTTCACAAATTTCAGTTCATTAAAAAAATTTTCTGACCCTACAGAAGCCGAACTGTCTACCAAAAACACGAGTTCTACTTGCTTGTTAGGCGTTCTACGCAGGGCAGCCACGTGCTGTTTTAATATATTACCCAACTCTTCCACTTTGTTCTTCTTTAACTGGTTTGGTAATCTTTCATTAGAAGTGAAACTGGGCTTTGCTCCAGAGTTAAAAAACTGTTCATATTCTTTGTTTCTGGTATGTCTATATCCTCCGGAGCTTGCAGCCTGTGACAGACCAGCTGCCACAAACAACAGCCCTACTAAGTACCAGAAGATATTCATACTGCGTTCCACAAAGTATTCTCTCAACCACGGACTGTTCTCTTCAAGTCAGTGCGAGATGTTGTCACAGTAGTTACTAATTGGATCGCAACTCTTAAAGAGGGGGAATGTCCCACCAAATAATAGATTGGATAAGTGATCCTTAACTATATTCTCCCTTGTCCTGCTATTTTCTATTTTGACTTAAACCACCCACTGGACAATCTGACGACGAATCACATTCGAGATCCACGTCAGTCGAGAAGACAGCAATAAAAGAATCAAACATCCAGTCATGTTCGACCGCCTTCCGACAAACAAAATGCGCCTGTAAACATATAATCCCGTGCTCTTTGAGACTGGACGGCCCTTTGCCGTCCTTGTAACCTTCTGTAGTTATCTAGATGGCCGATAGAGGAGGCGAGGAGGTTTCATATTCCCCTAGAGATGTGAAATATTCCAGCTGGCCTGACACACAAGTGGCATTACTATACGTATATCAAATCGACCTGAAACCCCGCGTAGGGGTTGGTAGTATACAAGGTCGTTACAAGATGTGAAAGTTGGACGCTGACCCGGCAAATCTAGTTATGCTAGTATTTCAAGGTGTTGAAAAAAAAGAGTAAAAAAATATATATTAAGTCAGAGTATGAAGTTCTTAGTAAATTCGTACATTTCCAAATACCTGAGGTAATAAATCTGATGAATCTCTCAATATCAAAATGCATTAACGTAATCCGAACCTTAAAAAAAAGATGAAAAATCGACACCTTTAGCGTTGATCTCAATATTCTTCTGTGCGTCTACTGACAGCTGTCAACTTTTTTGAATGTTATACAAGCTTATGACATTTGTGTATACATTACACGAGATAAAAGCGTCCTGTCTGAGTTGATAAAATTACATACATTTTCACAGCACACTCTCACAATCACCCTGGGTGTTTTTAGGTTTATACTTATTATGCTATTGTGTATGATTAAACCTTAAAATTAACCATTTTATTGCTACGAATTTACTAGTTTATATCTGTATATGCTGATTTTGATTTTCCCCCCCTTGTAATTGAACACTTATATCACAGTGACTTTGGTGTTCTTGTTCAGTATTTTGTAATATGTAATGTCACTATAATTTGCCGTGTTTATATCACCAAACAAACATCTACGATTCATATTCACCCTTCAGAATAACATAAGTGAGCTGGTAATTAGTTAACTTGGTGAACCATACCAAGACTCTTGTCTGTCTCATTTAAAGAGAGGGTAATGGGCACTCACGTACAATATTTATAAAAACAAAACGTAGTGAGTATGTAAAAATATGTCGTAATGGGTCTTCGAATCGTCTTGAAAAGTCGTATCAACAGTGTATAGAAGCTAAGTTTTGAGAAAAACTGGACTTCATAACCTGAAGGATGTGAGCAGTTATTCCACGAACCTTATGTAACAGTAAAACAGTTCTCAAATATAGATATTTTGTCATATCTTTTAATCGACTAAAGATGTTTTGTATACATTCAAAACATATATGATATACAGAGAGAACACCTGAACGGAATAAAAAGAGGTCGTCAAAATCCATCTCCTGTCTTAACAGTTGATAAACGCAAAAATTACAAAACAGATTATCTAAACTTTTTTTTTTTTTACTAATTCACTCCAAAAACCCAACATTTAATACAAGTGTAAAACGTCAAATAGAATGTATTTACACAATGAACAGTTTCTAGGGTGAATTACAGAAATAGAAATCAAATTAATATGAATCCTCACTCAAGAAACATTGAACTCTTTATTAGATTTATTTGACGAAGTTAATAAATCTCTCAAACATGCTTAGTATAAAGCTACCACTATAGTGCCCTGTGAGTAGTGGTATGAGTGAAAGTCAATAAACAAGATGTCTGCCTCTTATTTACCAATGGATAAATTAATATTTATCAGTTATTATATTATCAGTTTATTTTGGCAACCAGTTTGTTTTTTGTCATAGTGTATGTAAAAAACGCAAGGTTGCAAAAAAAGTGAAATGTCATTAAAAGCCGTCTCATTGTTAAAAGTCCTATAAATATTTTATTCATCATCCTTACATTTCTCTCTTGAACCCCATAACATCGAGCCTGCTGTGGATTCAGTAACAAAGCACAAAGCTTAAAAAAAAGCAACATCTAATTCTTTCGTGGAGTTTATAATGTTATAAAATACCATTTCTATATAATGTGTTTGAACCCGTATTTTAGTTAAATTACTCTGAAAAAAGGTTTTTGTGTTCTATAATCTCGGTAGCAAAACATTAACAATAACAAAAAGAAACACAAAACGGAATACTTACATTTTCTGGTTAAAAAGCCGTTCTCTCTCTGGAGGTTTTGTATCTCAGATGGTCCTAGACAAAGATTAGTAGGTCTTCTTTGCAGAATTAAACCTTCTTTATTCTATTGAATCTTAAGAGATCTAAACCTGGGCTTTCTCTCCTCTGAATCACTATAGACTAATTCTGGAAACATATCTGGATAAATTTATTTACAAGTTATGAACGATAACATGCGTATAAAATGTTTAATAATAATGGCATAATTTCTGAACCGTAGACAAGAATATAGAAATATAAATGTTTTTAATTATAGTTTTTTAAAAGATAGTGATTTATGATTTACTCCAAGGTTACTTATATATTTACAATAATGTGCAAAAGTGTTAGGACAAAGTCAAAAATTAGATTACAGGCTACTTTCAAACAACAATAAAAGGTAAATCACAGGTGAAACATCAAAAATTTTATTAATCTTCATATTTAGTACAACAGAAATTCAGTAGAAGTGCTTGAGTTCAGCAAACAGTTAATATTTTGTGTGTCCCCCTTTTGCTTTCATAACCGCAGACAGTCTTTCAGGCATTATTCAACATATTTAATCAAAGTGTCCTTTGAGATTTTACTCTAAATGTCTCTAATACACCCCCATAAAGTTTCTTTGGAAGTAACTTTTGATTTGTCAAGTTTTTATCAAATCTCAGATCTGCTCAATTGAGTTGAGATTTGAGATCGGGGTTCTGTGGGAGCCATTGCATCATTTGAATGACTCCAACTGCTTCTTTCTTAGCTAAGTAATTTCTGCATGGGTTGGATGAGTGTTTGGGGTCTTTATCTTCTTGGTAGTATAATCCTTTACCATTAATACACAAACCACTAGGTATACCATGACGGATCAGTATCGGATGGTACTTGCGTTGGTCCATTATTCCATCTATTTTGCAAATAACTCCTGCCGCCTCATCAGAAAAACACCCCCAAACCATCACACTGCCTCCCCCATGCTTCATAGTAGGTGTTATGCATTGTGGTAAGTATTTTTCACCTTTCTTCCGCCAGACGTACAACCTATGCTTTGAACCAAATATTTTAAACTTGGATTCAACCTCCATAACACCCTTTTCCAATCATTAACAGTTCGGTTTTTGTACTTTTTAGCAAATTTCAGTCTCTTGACAATATTTGGAGATCGAAGTAAAGGTTTTTTAACTGTTACACGACCATATATTCCATTCTCATTGAGTCTTCTTGATACTGTAGATCTGGACACTTTTCTGTCATTTGGTACATGGTCGTTTATCTCATGTTTGAGATCAGTGGCGGTCTTCCTTCTGTCCCTAAAGCTGCATAAACGAAGATACTTAACATCAGTATCATTGAGTTTAGATGTTCTGCCTCTTCCTATCCTATTTTCAAATTTACCTGTCTCGGCCTTATGATCTAGAATGTACTTGACAGTGTTTGGGGAGCATTTCAAGTCTGCAGCAATTTGTCGGATAGTCCAACCAGCATCACGTAAAGCTTTTATGCGAACTCTGCCCTACTGACAATTCTCTACGCTTTTTGGGCCGTGGCATGACAACAAAACTTAATATATAGTGTTAAACACTGTTTTTATCAAGGTTTATTTGTGGAGTGCTATTAAATTGATTTCTTCTAGCATATACCGGTACCATATGCTAGCTCCTTGCTAACTTCTTTCTATATAGTTAAGACACTGCATGGGGAACCATGATAGATATTTCAGACCATAAAGTTAATCAATAGGTGCATTCAAGCAGAACCATGATGACATGTCCTTGGTACAAGTATATGGGAATTCTAAAGAATGATAGGTATTCTCACCCTGGTGCATTCAGTTGTCAACAGGGATCAGTGAAGCATTACCATTGTGTTGAAATTTACATTCTGTAATGACATGGATGAATTAGCCACATTAAATGGAAAGAATAACAAAGTATTATATTGTCCTAACACGTTTGTACAGTACTGTATATATTTGGCTAAAAGAACTCAGACATGAACAGAATTGATGTAATCAGATTTGAAACGTATAATAACTTTGGTTACTGAGGAGCAACTTCATATTTTTTTGGACTAACTCAAACCATTAAATATTGGCTCATTATTCATGATTTTACTTACAGTATATTTTTAATGGTAGAAAATGATCAGGAGACAATAAAGAAGAAGCTTAAGGCAATGCAGATAACTTGTTATGCTCTCTGTAATGCGCAATGACAAACGTGCTGCAATCGGACTCCATAATTGGAGGAAGGAGAGCCTGTGATTTGCCCGGTGCTAAAACCGTGTAACCATAATTATGTAGGCCCATAAGTGAAAAAAGTACAATATGAAATAAAATACAAATTATATATATATATATATATCATTGTTTGTTGGTAAGTTACGATGTACCCATAAATACAATCACCGAAACACCAAACATTCTAGGAAATATTTTTATGCCTTCTTGTAATATCAATATTTATAAAGAAGTGTTAAGATAATGAATGTAATATAGTTTCAATGTCTCATAGTAGGAGTATCACTTTCGTTTTTTAAAATAAAAAAATAATTATTTATATACCTGTATTAAGTCTAACACATTTCTTGTACAAAATTCAAACAAACAAAGAATAAATAGAGTTTTGTTACCAAGAATAACTTTAGTGAAAGCAGATTATGTGTTGAATGTCTCTAAAAACTTTCAAACAATTACTAAATTTTAAAATGTTAGCAATTAGTTAAGTTAGTAATTTAGCTGTCTTAATGCTCAGAATGGAGCAAATTCAAAACATCATAGAAAAAATCATTAAGACATATAGTAGAAAGCAATTAAATATTTTAAAATCCAAGATATTGACCTTACTAAAAATTTTTGAATAGACATAGAAACATTTTTAAAAGTTCGAAT